CAGAATCAGGAAACCAAGCCTGGTTTAGCTACAGATGCCATCTAACCCCTAAAATGGAATGCATATTGTGGAAAAGGTATAAAGCCAGTTCCCTAAAGCTTAGTAAAATATATCTAACGAAATGACCGCCACATTTAAATGAACTCGTAGCAGATGGCACGATAGAAGTCGGCTCATCCTATTGTGGTGTGCGGGTCTGTATCATGAGCGGCCCTTCACCACTGAATGAGCTAATTGTGACCTCTCCCTTTAAAATAATACTAATACTTATGAAAATAAAATAAGCAAACAAAAGAACATATGTGCAAAAGGCTTAAAATATTCTGGGAGAGCATTAAGGAATGTTAACTCAAAGCCGAGGAATTGGAGGTATAGGTGAAAACACGTAAAATAAATAACAGATCTTTCTTTATTTATAGGAAGCTACATGGTATCCCGTGACCTTCCGGATTAATCACCGGTTAAAAGAGCTAGCCCCTGAAAATACATAAATCACCGAATACTTAACTCGTGGAGCAATACAAAGTAGGTCCTCTCAGTTCCTCTCGCCACAATCAACTGGCCGAGAGGCGGGAATTCGTGGGTCCTCAATCATGGTTAAACATTATATTTATTTCTTATGGTTATTGGTCTTACTATATATATATATATATATATATATATATATATATATATATATATATATATATATATATATATATATATACAGACACAGGGAGGTTCTTTGACAATATTAAAAGTACAGGTATTTTGCTATATATTGCTGAAGCAATTATTTAAAATATATCGGAAAAATATATCTCGATAAGTGGCACCCGGTCTCACAGCGAAAACGACGCCATGGGGGATCTAACTCGAAATCGCTGGCCCTCACGGGGACACTACACTGTTAATATGGATAGAGAGCTAATGGATGTTCTTCATTCTAGTCTGCCAGCGTACATGAGTGGATGGAGAAGCCTATGGTCGTTGTCCCAATATGCTTCCTTTTCCACCAGGCGGAGGCCCTCATCGTTTCCCTTCAGGTGTTAATATACGAAACGAATACAAGAGCGTCTTTTCCTTGAAATCAAACACACGTCCTTGTCCTTGTATCTTTGTCAGTGGTCCGTGAAGAAGGCGAGGTCTGGGTAGCCCAGGAGGAATGAGCATATTCTCTTCAGGCACCATGCATGATGAGTGATTCGCCCTCAACCGTCGCGTAGATTCACTCCCCTGGTGTAAGGTGTTGACTGCCGCAATGGGCCAACTTCCAGCTGCCTTTTCAACACAAAAAGGTCTCCGGTGAAGCTCACTAGCAGACGGCATCTGCGTCACTTATTGCATTCAGGATGAGTCAGTCCTTCACTGAGCGACGCCATGTGCGGAAGCCAGCCGAGGTCATTTCCTGACAACACTTGTTCAAAGCTGAAATATTGAAAGCTCTCGGTTCCCCGTCCTCGTTGTCGCCTCAACCTGCTGCAACAGGGCATCAGACAGGACGAAGATCGCCTGCAACTGGATGCGGGCGAAAATCTTGGCTTGTTGGTAGTAGCTGGCTTGCCGTCTTATAGTCAAAGAGCGAGAGAGGACGCATTACGTCCATTCATGCGGACATCCAGAGGCTGACAAACTACTGCTCCTTTGTCTTGGGAAATATACTCCGTTACCACTGTTATCATTGTTACTGCTATTAACACTCTAACACCGGCTTAACTCCCTTCTGTCATATATCAGCAAGGTATTTGCTGAATAGCTCAAGAAACATATAGAAAACCACAATTTTATTTCCATCAAACAATTTAGCTTTCGATTATCCCGATCGACTGCTGACCTGTTGCTTAGTAAACACTGGCAGGATGCTCTGGATTCCAGGCAAATCACTTTGGTAATCGCCCTCGACATCGCCGGCGCCTTCGACCGAATGTAGCACAAAAGGCCTCTACGGGCATTTGCTGATTACCTCACTGAAAGAACACAAGTAGCCAGCGGCGGCCAGTCGTCCTAGAAGAGTCCTGTACCCAAGAGACTGTCCTTTGTCCAAAACTTTGGAACATCTATATCGTTGGTTTGCTCAGGGAACATCCTGAAATCTCAGCGTATGCTAATGTATCTCTGAGGGTCATGTCGTAGCAATCCACGAATCCAATCCAGGAAGTTTTGCCGCCAAGACCCAAGCAATGGTTGTATCCTGCTCTCCAGCTGCATCTGGTGTCATGAAACATTTTATTGAATAACATCGCCCTTCCACTCGAGGACTTTATCTCAGTCCTCGGTGTGGGAATAGACAGTGGTCTAAGATTTGACAGCCACGTCAAATCTTCGCTATAAGTAACAGCACTCTGGCACACACCACACCTCCAGAACCCTTAATTATCATATTGCACAACTCCCAGATAGACCATACCTAAACTATGTTTCGTTGGCCTGGTTTCCTGCTGCGCCCACCAGTCTCAATAGGTTGAGCAACATAGAAAAACGAGGTCTCAGGCTTATACTTATAGCCACCAATCTTGTCGCCACGTTAGAGCTTTAATGGTGCTTCACAAGGATTTAAGTGCAGCAGGTGCCTCATCTATCCAGATTCCGTCTCCCACCGCGCGGCCTCAAGAGAAGTGCGAAGAAGGTAAACCCTAATCGGCTCCTAATGGAGGACACGAGGTCCCGGCCCGGCCATTGCCAGCGGACAGAGCAGAACGACTGTTGAATCATCCATCACCGATGTTGTAGTGACCAGCAAGCCTTGCTTATAGTGTCAGACTTCGACACTATTCATTGATTAATTTACATTTACTGAGATATGCCGACGGAGCGGGCCGAGCGGTAAGCATTCTCCGAGGGCACGGTGGGTTTGGGATAAATATTGTTCATGAAATTTACGTACGTCATATATCATTCATCTTTATATCAACATGTGTCGAATCCTTTTGGCTCCCTAATGATATGTAAAGTATACATAACGGGGTTTTATAACTGTACCGCAAAGGTTTAAAACTTAACACTCCCCGTCACTACAAAAAGAAACAAAAAACACATAAAACTAATATTTAATAAAAGAGCTTGAATATATACATAAGTGATAAAAATGTAGCAAAGGCGGCATATACTGCTGGTGCACACATAACTTATTTTACTAAAGGGGTGCCTCGAATCCTCCGTCCGTCACCGTAAAACACCATAAAGTTAAACAAAGAACAAGGCCTGCAGCAAGGGTTATCCTAAGCAAGCAGTCTTCCGCAAAGGACCTCTGGTTTACTGCTAGAATACCCCTCGTTTTTAGTCAATTAACCCGTGGATTAGGAGAGAGTACCTGTAACCTGGGCCGTGCGAGCGTGACTCCCTTGATTATCTCCCATACCTCTGTCATCGTCTTAGAGGCGGGAACAAGCAGTTATGTGCTTGGAGTTCAGGAGGCTTATAATGTAATAAAATCAAAATATCTTACTATGAACAGTTTTAGGGCACTAATTACAAGATATAAAACAGGTATAAAAACGAAACAAAGTATGTGCATTTATATTATTAATAAAATGAAATAAAACGTCATTATAACTTCCACGGGGGTTGTCCACGGTGGTGGTCCCTGGTGGTGTCAAGTGGAGATTCCAGGCATCCAGCCGTGCCACGAATTGCTTGGGACCCCCCTTGATGATTCCGTTTTCTTATGGTTCACTACAGTGTCGCCGACGAGAACACGGAACAAGTAAAGATGCTAGACAACGCTCGCGTCTAACAAAAAACAAAACAAAAAAACTGAATATGACATACACTCGTGGCGACATTGGCAACACTGTATATAATCTTTTTATGCATTGATTATATTTTTGTCCATTATGTTCATTGAACAAATTCAGTCCTCTTTATTTTTTAAAGAAGAATAGGCTGGCTTCTCGAACCAAATCTTAGTTTAATAACTGTTAACCCTCAAGAGAAACTTGATTTAGAGCAAGCGACATCAACATTATTATAATTGTCGCCTGGAGGTTACTGCTGTGATTGGGCACCACGGTAGGTAAGGACTAAGCCGAGTCAGTAAGAGCTGAAACACTGTTAGCGAGTCGACATTAGTCGGCACAGGCCAGGGCTCAGCTTCGCATATCGGACTAACATTATTATTATTATTATTATTATTATTATTATTATTATTATTATTATTATTGTAATAATAATAATAATTATTATTATTATTTTTTTTTTATTATTATTATTAATATTATCATTAATATCATTATTATTACTATTATTAATTTATCATTATTATTATTGTTATTATTATTATTATTATTATTATAATCATTATTATTTTCATCATCATCAATGTTATCATTATCATTGTCAGTATTATTATTGTTGTTTTGTTGTTGATTTTGTTATTATTATGAATATTAGTATCATTACCATTATTAGGGTATCACTATTATTATTATTATTATCATTATTATTATTATTATTAATATCGTTATTATTATTATTATCATTATCATTATTATTTTTATTATTATCATTATTATTATCATTATTATTATTATTATTATTATTATTATTATTATTATTATTATTATTATTATTATTATTATTATTATTATTATTATCATTATTATTACTATCGGTAGTAGTAGTAGTAATAGTATTACCATATCCACTATCATAATTTTATCAATATCATTGTCATCATAATTTCTATCACGCATGTACTCAATTACACACACACACACACACACACACACACACACACACACACACACACACACACACACACACACACACACACACACACACACACACACACACACACACACACACACACACACACACACACACACACACACACACACACACACACACACACACACACACACACACACAGTAATATCCGAACTATTCGTTATTGCATAGGATTTTTTCTATTAACGTTTATGTTTTCCTGCTAAAGTTGACCATGAGAAAAACTAAAGCTACAGTTGTGGCTTTTATCTTTTTAAACAAGAGTAGTATTCGAACTTGGCGCCTTACGACCGTTGTTTTGACAATCAGCTGTGTTTAAGTGTTCGAATGGCCGAGGAACAGAAAAGTCTTGTTTACACGTATGGTTCCCCTCTTTGCCTTTGTTCTCGAGCAGCTTAGCATTATATATATGTCTTGAAGGAACGACATTACAGATTTCTTCCTTACAAATACAAAGGGAGATGAGCACACATAGTTTGAGTGCGTATACAGTGTTACTAAATAAACTCTAGGCAGAAGACAGTCGGGTAGGTTTGTTATGTGCACACCCAATGCCATTTTTATTGAATCCTGATTGCACAACATGAACACTAGGGTGTGGTCAAGGTATAGTTTTAGTGGTCAATATGTAGTATAAGGTAGTGGCAGAGTTGGGTAATAAAACCTACATGAAATGATAGAACAATACAAACCAAGACAAAGTTCTTCTATGGCAATATGTGTGCAAATGCTTCCCAAGGCTGCTATACGTAAAAGAAAAGGGAAGAAGATGGGTTACTTACGAAACAATTTTGATATTTTTCTGCATGAAATCCACTGCTTTCAATGATTCTAGGCATTGTCCCTTGTGCAAATGGGCGACCTAATCCAACATCCAACCTAACCTGACACCGTGGTATATATTCCCTAGCTGGACCCCCGGGGTAATATATATATCTAGCAGCCTTGAGAAGCATTTACACACTTATTGCCATAGAAGAACTTTGTCTTGGATTGTATTATCCTATCATTTCATGTACGTTTTATTACCCAATTCTGCCACTACCTTATACTACATATTGTCCGTTTTAGTTTCCCACAGCCATGCAGTACAAAGTAAAATTTACCTCTAATGGACAGAATGAATGGCTGAAAACAGGACACTTTTCATCGATGGTATTATCTCAGTAAGTTGATTACCAGGGTGCATTTAATGCACTTAGGCCCAAAGATCTGGCGTGTTGTTAGCTTTCCTGTCGGGGTGGATTTAGCCTATATTATATTCCTTGGTGTATTGGCGTAATGAAATGGAAAGATCTTGGCACATGCTTTTTTATCTTTACTACTTTTTCAAGCTTTTAAGTTGAACACAATGCACTTATACATAGTCGTTTGTTTTATTCCTTTATAACGCACGTGCCCCCCCCCCCCTACACTCCTTGTGGCTGTTTTTTATCACTTCCATAGTTTTCAAAAGTGCCGCTGTGTCTTGGAGTTTTTGAGATAATGTGATTGCACCTTCAATTCAGGAAGGGCCTTTGTTATAACATGCTGAGATGGTATGAATAACAAGGACAAATTACTTTTGTTAATCACATGAAATTTTTGTCAGGTCCCATAACAAATCAAAACATTGTGGGAGAAATTGGATACAGCTATTAGCAACTTTAGATCTGTGATCAGTTACCAAATATTTTGTGTAGGAAATTTCGAGTTCAACATTTTATTTTAACTTTAATATTTTGGAACATATGTTTTAAAACAAATTCAAAGTTCTTTTATATTGGCTTTAAGTGTGGTTTCATTCAAAGTTTCTCAGTACTTAAGTTGATCGACAAGCCATGAAATAAGTGAAGAATGGAGCAAGATGCTGCATCAACAATCTACTTGGCTGGGTTGATTATAAAAAGAATTGTGCAACATGTAATACTTTGGTATTCATTTACAGGAAAATATAATGGCACTATAATAATTGGACAATATGTAGTATAAGGTAGTGGCAGAGTTGGGCAATAAAACCTACATCAAATGAGAGAACAGTACAAACCAAGACAAAGCAATATGTGCAAATGCTTCCCTAGGGTGCTGTATGTAAAAGAAAAGAGAAGATCCCTCAATTTTGGCTAAGTTGCTCATCTTATTTACATTGCGAGGGTGAATTGTAGACATATACTACCATGGGGGTCCAGGCATATATATTACCAGGGGGTTCAGGGGGCATAGCCCCCTTGTACTACCACATGTACTACCATGGTGTTTGGTTAGGTTGGATTTTACGCTAGGACGTTTTGTTTAACAACCATGGGGGTTCTGTTTTACCCCATAATTTCCCTGATATACTTCATGCCCTCCCCTGCTATTGGGACTATCAAATCAAGATTGTCAATGGGTATGGTGATCATATCTTCTTAACGATTCATTTACACAAGAAACAATGCCTAGAATTGTTGAAAGCAGTGGATTTCATGCAGAAAAATATCTAAATTGTTTGGAAAGTAAACCACTACCCTGTTCTACATATTGACCGAAAACAGGTTGCAACACATGCCATGCAGGCTGTAACTCCACAACTGAGTGGGGTCCAGGGGCAGAGCCCCTAATAGGGAAATAGGTTGATCGGGTGGGTGTCTAGGGGTGAAGCCTTTGGGTTAGGAAGGATTTTACCAGGAAAGGTACGAGTAAAAGAGCTAAATCTCAGAGCGGTTAGGCCACTTCATAAACATTATCAATACTTTCATTCATATCATTTGCGATGGAAAATAACAAGATATTCATGGATATTACAGTGTGGATAATTGAAAGAAGAAATAAAAAATGGGAAATTGGATGGATGTGTGAAACTAAAAAATTACTGTGATATATATTATGGCCCATGGTTAT